GTGGTTACTAGCGACATAAGATAAGAAATGCAAACAAAAATTTTGCATCACTTTTTTCTTGGTTTTCTCCACTTGAAGGAGTGAACGAAAACAAGTGATTGAATTCGGACACTGCGAGCCGGTGTTTGCATAGATTGTGCTATTTAATAATCATTTGAAACTTAGCAAACTGGCAGCTCCAAATATAGTAATGAAAAGTTTTAACTTGAACTCTGTCATGGAAACTAGCTTGTATACACCCTAATTAAATGATTAAATAATCTATTAAAGGAGTTCATACCTGAATGAAATCAAACCTGCCTAAAAAACAAAACAATTCCAAACCCAAGTGTTGATAAAAAAAATGAAAAAAAAAAAAAATGAATGAAGCTAGAATATAGCAGAGACTCTTCTTTCTTTTGATATACTGAGTGTATTATTGTGGACTATGTCAATTTTGTGAAAATGATAAAAAATGCTGCCTCTGAATGGCAACTATTCTAGTAAACACTGGTGGGGGATAGAGTTAAGCTTTAAGTAAATTTGGAGGAAATTGTACAATGAAAAAGTTAAAGGTAAATACAAATGCAAACCTGAAAACACACAGTCATTTATAGAAACACATATTGATGCATCACACATTCATATGTATTAATAGCATCAGTAGAGTTATATAACTTGCAGTCAATGAGGTGTTTCTGTCTGCCTGAAGCGTGTCAGCTCTACACCCACCAAGTAATAATGAATCTTCTCACTCCTGCTGAATCCATTATGTATTTGATATCCTTTCATCGAAGGCATGGAGCCATTCATTAAACATCTGTTAGCAATCTCCATGTCCGCCGCACAAGTCCGTGTGAAGAGTCTGAAGAGTCACCATAGAAACCCCAGAGGTCGCGTTGGGGTTCATTTATGCCGAGAATATGGTTGAATTTTACAAGAAGCTCTATTGAGGTCTGGCCCGGCTTTGATCCCGAAAGTCTGCCCTTGCAGTCAGCTGAGAACATGGATGACATCTGAAAGCCATGTCTCGCAGAGGTTTGGATGAGATATGATAGAATAGACAGTTGGGAGAAGACTGTGAAAAATATGTCATGAGATACTAGTTTCCATTCAATAATGTTTGCACATTATTATTTGAAGGTCATATTGCTGTGTTCATTTGTGGTACTACAACAAGGCAAATGAATGGCACTACACAACAAAAGTCACTGTGATTTTTGCCAAGTAAGGCATTACCTGGGTCCACATATTTTTTTGATCCTGGAACAACATTCTTGCCTGAAAATGTAGTCCAAACCCTATCCCTACCCCTTAACCTAACCCTACCTATAAGTTACACCTAAAATAAGAGGAAAATGGTAGGTTAATAACACTGATGTAGAAGCACCGAACCCTGGTTGCAAGACATAAACTGTGAAACTGTCCCTCAACTCTGATTGGTTGATTGAAATGTCGTTTCAGGGACAACAAATATTGTTGATCCAAGAACATGTTCCACTTGGTTAAATCAGGTTCTGCGTCACCGTGATTTTGCCAAGTAAGGCATTACCTGGGTCCACATATTTTTTGGATCCTGGAACAACATTCTTGTCTGAAAATGTAGTCCAAACCCTATCCCTACCTCTAAAGCCCGGAACACACCAAGCCGACGCTGACAAACTGTCGCTGATGAAAGCCGGCTGTGTTGTCGCCTCTCGTCCGCTATCACCGGGGTAAAAAGCTGCACTTGAACACACCGAGAGAACTACAGGCAACTGTCACCTAGAATGTGCGTTCTGCGCCTGCGTGTAATGAGCAAACTGTCTATTTCTGCAGATATATCAGTCTACATTCGTCATTCAAAAAGGAAAACCGACGCTGCCGGCTGCAGATACACATACCGCTTTGAATATCAATCCCGCTAAACGCTTTCTTTATTCCACTCCGCTCATGTTAATATTGAAATATTCGCCAAGGAACACTCAGGTAAGATGACGTAACATAAGAACAGCCTACTATCTTTAACGTTTTGACTTCTTTGCGTGCTGTTTTGCTTTTATTCTCGTGCATTGACTCTTTCAATAAGCTAAACAGCCAATCAGAGTTCTCTCTTTCCCCGACGGGTCGAATTGGGCGAAACCAAGCCGACGAGGGCTATTTTAAGCCGACGGCACAGAAACCGTGCGGAACACACCGAGGAAACTTAGTTGGCCGACGCACAAAAACTGCCCGACGTCCGACCGTCGGCTTGGTGTGTTCCGTGCTTAAACCTAACCTTATAAGTTATCCCTAAAATCAGAGGGAAATGATAGGTGAATAACTCTAGGTCCTAACCCTGGTTGCAAGCCTAAACTTGACATAAACTTTTAAGGGTTAGTTCACCCAAAAATGAAAATTAAGTCATTAATTACTCAACCTCATGCTGTACCAACCCCGTAAGACCTTCGTTCGTCTTCGGAACACAAATTAAGATATTTTTGATTAAATTTGAGAGCTGGATCACTGCTACATAGGCTCCTAAGGGATCGAAACTTGACGGCCCAGAAAGTCTTTGAAGAAAATGTTTAAATAGTCCATGTGCCTACAGCGGCTCAACTATAAGTTTATCAAGCGACGACGAGAATACTTTTTGTGCGGAAATAAAACAAAAATAACGACTTTATTCGACTATTCCTTTTCTTCCTTCTGGGCCTGAGACGAGAGTTCAAGAGATTTTCACGACGCATCCGCGAGAATTGAACAAGAAGTCGTAGAAGAAGATCGCGATTCTCGCGCATGCGTCGTGGAAATCTCTTGAACTCTCGTCTCAGGCCTACAAGGAAGAAAAGGAATAGTTGAATAAAGTCGTTATTTTTGTTGTTTGTTTCGCACAAAAAGTATTCTCGTCGCTTGATAAACTTATAGTTGAGCCGCTGTAGTCACATGGAATATTTAAACATTTTCTTCAATGACTTTCTGGGCCGTCAAGTTTCGATCCCTTAGGCAGCCTATGTAGCAGTGATCCACCTCTCAAATTTAATCAAAAATATCTTCATTTGTGTTCCGAAGACGAACGAAGGTCTTACGGGGTTGGTACAGCATGGGGATGACTAATTAATGACTTAATTTTCATTTTTGGGTGAACTAGCCCTTTAAGATTGTCACTCAAATCTGATCCAGTATCATGTACTTGGTGAAATCAGGCTCACCTTTTCAACCCTGAGTTACTCTTGCATATGCTTTAGATTGCAAGAGCCCTTATATTGTAAATTGTCATAAATTCTTGGCCAGGACCCGCTTACTCAACAGATAATATGCAAATAAGAGACAGAGTCAATCTGCTGAGTGTAATATCTAAATTGATATTTTATTATGGAGGGTTGTTAAATGAGACGAGAGGTATGACCGGTAAAGGGTTTGTGTGACGCCTAACATTAAGAGTGAATCAGGGGATTTAGTCACCGTTATTAAGACTGGGGCATGTTAATATCTCTACTAGAGAAAAGACTACAGAAAGCCACAAAGAAGGACAAGATAGAAATGGAGAATATAATTTGGATATTCCTTCTCTTATTTTCCCCCTGAAACTCCAGCAAGAAAAGATGCATGGTTTCCTTTTTTTTTTTCCACCTCCCCTTCGTTCTCTGGAGGTTTCAGGGTAAGATGTTGAAAGAACACAACAACAGCGTCTTCAAACCCCTAGCACTGATGGAAACGCTAAACAGAAAAGAAAAAGACTCGCTTGCTCTACTTTCCGAGACGCAATTTGAGGCGTATTCATTCTGCTCACGTAGGTGAGGTCTGGGTTGATGGGCAGAGAGACAGCACACACTATTTACATTTCAAACTCTGCAAGAATCCGGCTTCCTCCTAATTGATTGCAGCAGTGGTGGGCCACGATTCGGGCTGATATTTATTACCTGGTTTAATTAAAGAGAAAGCCTCTGAATCTGCACTGGCTGAATAATGGACGTTGAAGCTGATTTCTTGCAGTGCCTGGAACATAAGAGCGGGACACAAGTTGTCCTCCTCTGCTTAAAGGGATAGATGAGCTAAAAATGAAATTTTGACATTCGGATGGTTGAGATAGGTTATCATATAAATCTTCGTGCAGCTGTTTTCATTGAATGATTATGTGACCACATGTAAAGCTCTGAAAGGTATCAAATGGACCATAAAAATATCATAAAATTGGTTCATACAACTCGTCTCATGCAGACATTTAGCAAACTTCCGAAAACTCACCTACCTTGCAAATACAAGTCACACCTTGACAGAGACAAGTGGGGATGACAGGTGGGTAAATATCATTTAATTCAGTCATAAAAATCAATGGGTGTCTTCGATGGCGGTGCAGTCGGCTATAACCTTTTGTTGGCGGGGACATCGATCTGCAAACTCTGAATAGAGACATTGATTAAAGTGGCTTTGGTAAAGAACGTTTCATCAGATTGCAATCAAAAGCCATGAAGGGTCAGCGGTGCACAATGACATTTTCAAACCTGGGAACAAAGAATGTACGTTAACGATCCTTGTGAATTATGAGGACATCATTCAAATGGGAATCACCAGATTAACTCGTGGTGGTGTGCTTTGAATCTTGTTGAAGAATGCCAGGACTCAATGCCAAGGATGTTCTACTGGTCGGGGCAGTGCTTCTAATAAATAAGATAATGGCACAACTTTTTAGATGCTCCCAACTCCAACTTGGATATCTCAGCAAATATAATTCTATAAAATTGCATATATACTTTTGTTTGATCCCATCTGGAAAATCCAGGTTAAGCCGATAACAGTAGTCTTGGTAGGAGAAGCATATCGAATGGCCAGTTCCCTCAGGGAGTAACCTGGGGTTTAATCTCTTGTTCAAAGAGGAATAATGGTGATAGATTATGAATTACTGCTTGCAGGTTTACACCTGAAATGTTCTTGTTACCCAACCAGATCTTTATCCTGATTCCAAACCACCCTGCATCACATTTGCTCTTTTGAAAGATCCTTTATAAGTCCCACCACAACTTTCAGTTAACATGTCATCTGTTCTATGTTTGGCCCTCAAGGACTTGGCTGCTCTTGTGGCGAATGGCACAGTGACTAGTAAGCCTCCAGTTACGCTGCGGCTGGTCATCCCGGCCAGTCAGTGCGGTTCCCTCATCGGCAAGGGCGGCTCCAAAATTAAAGAGATCCGAGAGGTGAGTGCTTTTCCATATCCTTATCTTCCTTTTCTCTGCCCTATGACGTCCATGTTAGGACTACTTGCGCTGTTGCATTTTTCATAGGTTTGGATGCCAGTAAAAGCCCATTTATTTTACATTTATGGTCTCTGGGCTGTCAGGACAGTATGAGGTAATGGTGAATGGTCTGTCACGCTAAATTTGGAGTGTTCTGTAATGCAGTGGAAGGGGGGTGTGGGCAATGGGAAGGTTGTTTGAGTTAAGGGAATATCAGGTGCGTTTAAATAATCAAATCTATAGAGTTTGTTTTAAAGGTGGGTTTGGGTTTTATTTGGTTGGAGGCTTTTAAGTTAGCAGGAGCTTCTTTCAACTTCTTTTAAATCGATATCTTCATTTACACTATGAACTTGGCGATACAACCAAAGGTAGGCGTACTGGCCCGGAAAAGATTAGGCCGAAAAAGGAAGTAATGCCGTGATTTGCAATGGAGGCAGGCGTTTGCTTTCGGCACCATCTTTAAAGGGGCGATGAACTGAGAAATCAAATTTTCACTGAGCTTTTGACATCTAAGAAGTCATCATATTATAAGAATATCCTGTAAGTTTCACAACTGAAAACGTCCTTGTAAGTCCAATAAAAGCTTTTAATTGACACCAGCCTCAGCAAACGACTCGTATTTCAAAATGGGTAACTATGATGTCAAAGAGGATAAAACACCACCCCAGCAGAAGAAGATCAACGCCTACTTCAACACGGCCCGTTTAGCCCCGTCCACCGATTTGCGCATTATAGCTAAATAACATAGGCCAACCTCATGATGACAAACCGGATCGAGGTACCGAGAAATACACAATATTGTGCAGTGCCTGGTTGTGGAAGAAGACATTCGCTGCATGAGTTTCCTCTGGATTCCAATAGGACTGCATGGATAAACTTTATTTTTAATGACTGTCCGTCTGTTCGCTTCATTTCACTGAGGATTGTTTTGTTAATAAGACTGGATTTGTAGACCGATTAAGAGTAAAGATCGGTGCTGTGCCGTCTATATTGGATCTGATAGGAACTGTGCAACACACGGACTCTGGGTCGAACATGTACGGGCGAATCATTCCGGTTGCCATTTTACAACATTGGACATTTTCAAAACAATTTCCCCCAAGTGCATCGACGGGTGAGTCGAAACTCATTATAATATGCAAAACTGTTATCCACTCACAGCAGTGGGCGTTTACTTCCAAGTCTTCAGTGCGAGACGCCCATAAAAAACGAGCGTTTTTCAGCTAGGCTCAAAACTAGGGTACAAAATAGCCTATTACTTATTCATTTTGATGTTTTTGAATGCAAAAACCAAGCGAACGTCATAAGTTGACCTCAGACAACAATAATAAAATTCAAAAAGCCAGTTCATTACCCCTTTAAAGGTCAGACAAAGTTTGGGTTGAGCTTTTGTGCAGAAGCCAATCCTACTCTTGGTGGATCACCAACCCTAAATAAAGACGCCTAAACTTAAACATGCTAATCAAGGTCTTAAGGATTACTCGAAACTTTCAGACAGGTGTGTGGGAGCCAAACTCTGCACGAAGCTGGCTCTCCAGGAGCAAGATTCGACACCTGACCTATGTAAAACAGTGTACTAATGATCTGTTCTTCCATTGTGTGGCAGAAAACAGGGGCTCAGGTACAGGTGGCAGGAGATCTGCTCCCTAACTCCACAGAGAGAGGCGTGACGATATCTGGCAGTCAGGACGCCATCATCCAGTGTGTCAAGCTCATCTGCACTGTAATACTGGAGGTAATTTGACTCCAAGCAAATCCATTTGGTTTCATTAACACATTTTTATGCATGCATTGGCCCTGAAAAACTGTTGTGGATGACTATTGTGTGATAGTCTTAATCTATCGAAGACTTCAAAGGCTTCTGTACTTCAAAGACAGCATGCTGGTTTCAGTAGTGGCATTGAAAAGAATGGATATGATCCATTTCTGTAGCCTAAACATATATTTTTTATTGCTTTTTGCAGCTGTCAAATACTTTTCTTCAAATACTTGATCTAACTAACTGCACATTAACAATCATTACAGTAATGGTTATTGAATGTGTTCTCTCAGATTTCCCACAGCATGAAATGCATTTCCTCTCAAATGGTTTTCTTTTGTACATAAATGGTTCAGAAAAAAAGACTTTTAGCTGGGGCTTTTTATTCAGTGAATTGTAATGCATGCGTCCTGGTCTTTCTGTTTAATTTTTAATGGACCGGATGAGGGCCAGATTGTTGACTGCGACACTACCCATTTTAGGAATCCTCCACTGTCTGCTTGCTCCGGGATGCAAATTATGCAAAGTAACCCAATGAATATTTAAAAATATTCTTTTTGTTTGGTTGAGCAAGCATGGGGGATGTGCTTCACTGGGTTTTCATTTTATCTTTCTTAGGGTTTGGCCTTATTCTGACCTCTTGTATTTTGGCATTTTAATCAAATTACTTGGTTATTTGTTGTTGTTTTGTGCAGATGTGTTTCAAGTAGGGCTGTCAAACGATTAATCGTGATTAATCACATCCAGAATAAAAGTTTGTGTTTACATAATATATGTGGGTGCACTGTGTATAATTATTTTCTATATATACATATAAATACACACACATGCATGTATATATAAGAAAGAAATTTTATTTATATATAAATTATATATAAATCTATATACAGTATGTACATGAAAATATTTCTTAAATATATACAAGCATGTGTGTATTTATATATAGAAAATAATTATACACATATATTATGTAAACACAAACTTTTGTTTTGGATGCGATTAATCGTTTGACAGCCCTAGATATTCTGATGACACCTTGTCTCAGAGGGCCAACAGTCATTTTGAAAAGTATTTCATTATTTTTTGAAGTTATAATCTGGGTTTGTAGAGTAGCATCATTAAAGAAAAAAAAATTGCTGCATTTGCAGCATTGCAAGTTTTCCATCTAAGGATATCATGAGCAAGCATTAATAGCATTCTGAAATTATCTGTCCAAATGACTTCCTGTGAGAGGATAATGGTATGCTTTTAAGTGATCCGATGAAGAGCTGATCGATAAATGTTGCATTTGTGCACCGTGTCAGCATTTCCAGTCATTAAGGATAATATGACCAAATGACTCTGAAACCTGTGGATGAATCTGTATAGTCCTGATTTAAAGTTACTAACTGCTTTATTATACGTTTGCAGTCTCCTCCAAAGGGTGCTACAATTCCGTACCGCCCAAGTCCTGCTCCAGGTGCAGTTCTTCTAGCTGGAAATCAGGTAAAAATACACACCGACATGGCAAAATGTGGTTCTTTCATCAACAATACCAAGTATCTCACTGTTCTTCTCATAAAAACCGCAACATTTAAAGGTGCACTATGCAAGATTTATTTTTTTTACTTATTTAAATGAACAAAATTCACAACCTTTCCTAAACAAATTTTAAAATTCGCTGTGATAAACCAACTGCCTGAAACCACTGGTAAACCTCAATCCATTATATCCTCAGTTGAAACCAAACTCATGTGATCACCTATACAATTATCCGCGATTAACTTGCAATTTACAATTATCTGCGATTAACTTGCAATTTCATGAACTGCATTTTAAAATTATTTTATGTTTCCTACAATTGCAATTGTCAAGATTTAGAAATAAAAGGCTATTTTTGACCCTGATATCAGACCTCTATTTTGAAGTGGTGTGTCTGCTGTGAGATTTCAATGCAAACGCCCACTGTCATGAAAAGTCATGAAAAGTGTTTATTATAGCATTATATTTAGATCTACTACCCTGGCATGAAAGGTTGCGGCAATGAGCGGACGACAGACATGACTGTTGAGCGCATGAATGCAGTGATCATTGCAGCTCGATTATTGTATCTCTCACGAATGCTTTCATCGTAACTAAGTGTAAACAAGATGTAAATACGAGTCGTTGATTATACGGGTATATAATATAATCTTTCTTTATTTACTCGCAATTTAAATAACAGATTTTGTCATGCTACTGAGAGAAACAATGTCAAAGTTGTCCGTTTAGTCACTGGCTTGATTTACTGATGCATAAACAGCATTAAACGATTTTGAGACAAAGAACGTCTGACTGTACATAAATTACATCAGAATTCACTGATCACAGATCAGGAAATAGAATTAGCACAGTTATTTATGTTGTGGCATTACTGTCAAGTCCATATCTTACAGTAAAAGTCTGTTTGCAAAGCCAGCGCCGAAAGTACAACTGATTTACCAGCGCAGTCTCATCCCAAGACGTCAGTTATTTTGACCATACGTCAACATCCACCGTTTTAGGGTGCCCTTAAACGTCGGTTAGATGACGTTATCGGATCCTAACCCTACCCCAGACCTAAACCTACTCCGTCACCAAACTGACGTTAAAGGTAAAGCGTCAGTTGTATGACGTCCCAGGATCGTCATGTAACTGACGTTAAAGGGTACCCTAAAACGGCGGATGTTGACGTATGGTCAAAAGACGTCCCAAGACATCAGTTATATGACGTCTTGGGATGAGACTGTGGTAGATTTACTAAAGAATCCACAGTGAAATGTACCGAACAAACAAATAAAAGACATTCACAGAGTTAGCACTTAGCACTTAAAGGGTTAGTTCACCCAAAAATGAAAATAAAGTCATTAATTACTCACCCCCATGCTGTACCAACCCCGTAAGACCTTCGTTCGTCTTCGGAACACAAATGAAAATATTTTTGATTAAATTTGAGAGCTGTATAACTACCACATTGGCTCCTAAAGGACTGCCTCTTGACGGCCCAGAAAGTCAATGAAGAAAATGTTTAAATATCCCAAGTGACTACCGTGGCTCAACTATATGTTTATCAAGCGACGCGAATACTTTTTGTGCGAAAAAACAAACAAAAATAACGAGTTTATTCGACTATTTCTTTCTTCCTTGTAGGCCAGAACGAGACTTCCTTAGATTTCCACGACGCATGCGCGAGAATTGCGATCTGAAGTAGTGTAAGCTGGTGTGAGCAGATCACAAATCTCGCGCATGCGTCGTGGAAATCTAAGGAAGTCTCGTTCTGGCCTACAAGGAAGAAAAGAAATAGTCGAATAAACTCGTTATTTTTGTTTGTTTTTTCGCACAAAAAGTATTCGCGTCGCTTGATAAACATATAGTTGAGCCACGGTAGTCACTTGGGATATTTAAACATTTTCTTCATTGACTTTCTGGGACTATAGAGTGCCGAAGTTACGACGTTACTCTGTAGGCCAAAACGCGGAAGTGAGTTAGCATTTTAGCACTCCCGGTTCCCTCGCTCTAATAAAGTCAATGGGATTTTTGAATGGGTTTTTGCTAAATCGCCTGAAATAAGGTCTGTGGTGAACAAAGCCTCTAAATATTTTCACGTTTTGATCTATGACATAGAACAGACAGTTATAACCTGCTTGTGTTTTTTAAACTTTATTGTGTCTGCTTGTGTTTTAAAAAAAACTTTATATAGGCTTCAAAATGTATACATTTTGGATTAACTTGTAAAGATGATCTTGATAAACAAAACGTGTCAAAAACGGTCACAACTCTTTGTTAAACACAGATCTTATTTTTTGCGATTTTCCAAAAGTCTGTGGGGAAAATGCATAGCTTTTCGATCGAGGGAACCCATGCGCCGCTAGCTTCCGAGTTGTCCTACAAAGTGACGTCATCACTTCGGCACTCTATTAAAGGATTAGTTCACTTTTGAAAAATTTTTTGCTGATAATTTACTCACCCCCATGTCATCCAAGATGTCCATGTCTTTCTTTCCTCAGTCGAAAAGAAATTAAGGTTTTTGATGAAAACATTCCAGGATTTTTCTCCTTATAATGGACTTCCATGGGAACCAGGTCCAACCGAGTTATAACAGTTACAGATGCAGCTTCAAATGTCTTTAAACGACACCAGACGATGAATAAGGGTCTTATCATGCGAAACGATCGGTTATTTCAAAGCTTATTCCAAAAATGTAACTTTTCTAAGGACAAATGCTAGCCTTTCTCCATTCTGTGAGGCGCGTTTGCAACGTCACGTAATACGTAATTACGTTCAAAAGGTCACGGGCGACGTAGCCAGACGTACAGAGTCAGAGTGTTTACAAGTTGAACGCATAGGTTGAACGTGCAAACTAACTCAAACGCCGTTTACAAAAAAGGAATTAAAAGGTAAAACAACGATCTCGGACGATTTTGATTCTGTACTTCCGGCTACGTCGCCCGTGACCTTTTGAACGTAATTACGTATTACGTGACGTTGCAAACGCGCCTCACAATATATTACAAGGCTAGCATTTGTCCTTAGAAAAGTTACATTTTTGGAATAAGCTTTGAAATAACCGATCGTTTCGCATGACAAGACCCTTATTCATCATCTGGTGTCGTTTAAAGACATTTGAAGCTGCATCTGAAACTGTTATTAACTGTCGTTTGGACCTCGGTTGGACCTGGTTCCCATTGAAGTCCATTATAAGGAGAAAAATCCTGGAATGTTTTCATCAAAAACCTTAATTTCTTTTCGACTGAGGAAAGAAAGACATGGACATCTTGGATGACATGGGGGTGAGTAAATTATCAGCAAAAGTATTTTCAAAAGTGAACTAATCCTTTAAGTCTTAATGTGAATTCGAAATAAGTAGTTTTCTGAGCTCGGTTTCAATTAAAATAAGAATTTACAGGATGTTTTTAATTCGTGATCCATTTAAGCTTCAACTGGGCAAACCTTTCATAGTGCACCTTTAATATGCATTAGTTCACTCAACAAAACCAAACATTTTTTTTTTTAAATAATTTTATCACCCTCATGTAGTTTCATACCTCTATGACTTTTTCCTTCTGTGGAAAATGGATGAAAATTTGAATATCCCAGAGCTCTTTTTCCAGAGTACTGAAAGTGAATGGGTTGTCAAGCAACAAAAATGACAAACCAATCACAAAAAGTGGTCCAGAAATCGTGTACTATATTCCAAGTCAAATTTAATTTTGGGACAAAACTGTATTCCTTCAAGGCCTTGTTCTCGCCGCACACAAATCTGATTTGTTTTTCAAATATGGACTGCTGGTCCAAACTGACATTTTGCAAGGTATGAAAATGAAATCTATTTGTTCAGACAGTGTCGTCAATGTCTGCTACAGCTACAGCGATTGTGACAGTCATGACGTAGGTGTCAGCATGATGCCAAGATAGGTGCTTCTTCTACTGAGGAAATTAGCTTTAAAGTTAATATCAATGTGGATTATGACTTTTCCAAGCATGAATGTAGTCCAGTCTACAAAAAAAAAGAAAAAAAAAAAAAGATTTTTGATGCCTGTGGGAACAAGGCCTAATTGTCTCAAATTTAATTAATGGGATTAGCAGATCCAAAAACATACAACCCACCTGTAAAGATGCTGAGTGCACTGAAAATACTTTATATTAATTTGATTCTTAATATAGTAGAGTTTCATAAAGCCCCACACAGCTGACAGCATGTTGCCTCCATTTCCTTTAATAAAACGAGTCTGTCCATCAATGAAGGGTGTTGGTGGGGGGCTGTCTGTGTTTATGAAATATTTTTGAAGCTTGCTTGTTGTGTGTGCTATTATAAATGTCATGGAGTGTAAGTATTGCAAACATGTATACATATGTTTAGTTCCATTTATTAATATACACGCTTATAAATGTGTCATGTTCGAATTTAAACCTGCAGCTAATATACTAATGCATATTGCGAAAAACCTCAATAGACCTTATTCAGTGTGAAAGGCATATTTAATTAGACGCAAACAAAAGCGAGGCCGAGGGATGGAAGTACATTCAATGTCTATTCAAAGAACCTCATATGTGTAACACAAGCTGAACATATTTGAGTGCTAATAATTGAATAAGTCCAAATTTGATTGTTCACGCGAATTTGATCGTGGGAAGCCAAAATCGTGATCGTGATTAAAATTTGATTAATCGTGCAGCAGTGTTGTAGTACTCGAGACTCGGACTCGTCTCGTACTCGGTCTCGAGACCATATTTTAATGATCTTGGTCTTGTCATGGACCGTGTGCATTTGGACTCGGAATTGACTCGTACTCGAACATTTTTTTTTTTTTTAGGACTCTGACTTATTCCCGAGTCCATTCGAGTTCAATTCAAAATAATTTTCATGATTATTAATGTATGTTAATAAAATATTTCTTTAAATTGATTGACACGCCCAGTGATTGGTGATTTTCTAGTGCGCAACTGCGCATGACAAATTGTAATAAAATAACTTTTAACACCACCTAATATGTGGCCTTTTTACCCTAAACTGATCATATTTTTTAAACTCTAAGTAAATTCAGTTAAAAAAAAAAAGGATTTCTCTAAGTAAATAAAAGTAAATTAGGTAATCAACCCTCACTGGTCTCGACCGTCTCTGGTCTCGGACTCGACTCTCTATGGACTCGGTCTTGACTCGGACTCGACTCTCTCTGGTCTCGGTCTCGACTCGGACTCGAGTGAGGTGGTCTCGACTACAACACTGTCGTGCGGCCCTAAATAAAGCTATTCCTAACTAGGCTGTCAGATTTAATCGAATGGCCATTGAACAAATTGGGCTTCCATCCTTCACAGTCTTGTTTTCGTCCGTCAAATGAAGTATGCCGTCTACCCGGACTAAGGTCTATTGTTTCATTCTTTAATCTATCGTTTTGCCTGTTATTCACTTCACATAATTCTCTAACACGTCCCCCGAAGAGAGTAGAGAGGCCGTTATGTTTATTCATGTTGACACGGCTATTCATTATCAACACTCCTATGCATGAATAACAGTAGCATTAAGATCAATCAGGCTCATGAATATTCCTCAGCATTATAAGCGCTTTGGAGTCATTCGCCAATGGTGTAATTAATCGCAGTGGTAGAAACTTTGACGTGCATACTTATGATACATCAGCCCGTTCTCATCCTTTAACGTCATACAGAACGCTATATGCAAAAACGGCGCTATACTACGCACATGGCACCCTTTATCGTTAATATAACACGTGAACCCAAGACGTTATAAATCCTTTAGCGTGAATATGACACGCACACCCTACTCCACACCTAAACTTAGCCCTCACAGCGCGTGTTATATTAACGATAACGGGTGCCATGTGCGTAGTATAGCGCCGTTTTGTCATATAGCGTTCTATATGACGTTAAAGGATGAGAATGCGTTGAATACATCGTCTGTTTGATATTTTTATATGTCTGCCGTAAAAAGTGTAAGATTAATGTCTAATAATGAAATTAATGTTCATTGCTTTATATCAGAGAACATCTTTTTTCCCCTTATTAACCCTTTTCTGTCTGTATTCAAATCACGCTTGGTAATGACGGCAGTAACAGCAAAATTGCCGCTGATGTACATATCCGTAAGACTAATGAGTAATGACATGCGAATGAAGCCTTGGTTTGTGTCTCTGTCCCCTATTTGCCTTTTTAAGGTTTTCGAAACGTCAGAGTTTGCGTCTCACCCGCTTTTCTCAGTGGCTCAGGGAGGGCTGGATCTGCAACAAGTGAGTATTATTTATCCATGACGGATAATATAGGGAGCTGTGCTTCCCACTCTTTCTTTATTTGCCTCTTCCGCCCCTGCATGGAGATGGGAATTCTGTTCCCCTCTGTCATTCCTCCTGCCGCATGTTGCAGCCAGTGTCCTGCCCACTTGAGCAAGGGAGCGAGACTATACAGCAGTTACTGTTTTTAGATATGAGATTATTTTTCCACTTGACCGTACCATTTGGGCATGGCTTTACCCCTCGACCCACTGCAATTGTCTTGATTTTTGCTGAGCATTGTGTTTTGATTTGACTTTGTAAAGTTGTGTAAACTTTGCAGGTATCATGTAAACGATGTCCCCCAAGGCTATGGCTTTGGTCCTATTGTATTTGCAAAAATTTAAGATTCATAAATAAATAAACCACATAAAATCTGACCATATGATGTGTGGGCTAGGTAAAAAATAAAAATCCATAGTTTGAGTGAGGATCTGACCTCAATGCAGGTATCAGGTAAACGGTGTCCCCCAAGGCTATGGCTTTGGTCCTATTGTATTTTCAAAAATTTAAGATTCATAAATAAATAAACCACATAAAATCTGACCATATGATGTGTTAGGTAAAAAATAAAAATCCATAGTTTGAGTGAGGACCTGACCTCAATGCAGGTATCAGGTAAACGGTGTCCCCCAAGGCTATGGCTTTGGTCCTATTGTATTTTCAAAAATTTAAGATTCATAAATAAATAAACCACATAAAATCTGACCATATGATGTGTGGGCTAGGTAAAAAATAAAAATCCATAGTTTGAGTGAGGATCTGACCTCAATGCAGGTATCAGGTAAACGGTGTCCCCCAAGGCTATGGCTTTGGTCCTATTGTATTTTCAAAAATTTAAGATTCATAAATAAATAAACCACATAAAATCTGACCATATGATGTGTGGGCTAGGTAAAAAATAAAAATCCATAGTTTGAGTGAGGACCTGACCTCAATGCAGGTATCAGGTAAACGGTGTCCCCCAAGGCTATTTGGTCCTATTGTATTTTCAAAAATTTAAGATTCATAAATAAATAAACAACATAAAATCTGGCCATATGATGTGTGGGCTAGGTAAAAAATAAAAATCCATAGTTTGAGTGAGGATCTGACCTCAATGCAGGTATCAGGTAAACGGTGTCCCCCAAGGCTATGGCTTTGGTCCTATTGTATTTTCAAAAAAAATAAGATTCATAAATAAATAAACAAACAACATAAAATGTAGCCATATGATGCTATGTAAAAAATAAAAATCCATAGTTTGAGTGAGGATCTGACCTCAATATAAATTGTTTTGATTTTTCATCTCACTCCCCAATTTTGCGAACAACTCGGCTTTGAAGTTTGTAATTACAGGGAAAATATCACACTTTAAGAGGTGTTTATCACTGACATTTCTGTTAGGAATAAACATCTATTCTTGATGTTTTACAGTTACAGGATTCTCTGCCAATGTGGGAAGTTCATTTGAGGACACTATTATGGTGTGAATGACTGTTAATCTCTCGACTTGTGTTGAGGTCTTTTAGGCAGATGATCATCAGTGTATATGTGCATGTTTCACCACAAAGATTAACAGGAACGGTTGATAGCATCACCCATCCCCAAGTCAGCAGTTAAACATAGTGATGAAAGAATGTTTATCATAGCCTAGAGACGCAAAATATCAACGCCAAAACTGTTAAGCATGTGTTAAAGGAAGATATCCTCAAAAATGATCATTGGAAATGATCTTCCACTGTGAAACCCAAAAGGAGATGTTCAGCAACATTTCAGTAAAACAACTCAAATTTTGTTCTCTTCCGCACACAAACATTTTGTTGTATGGAAAGCAACTGCATACATATGAAATAAATCATCCAGTGTGTTTTGAGAGTAAAGTAATAATGCCAGAATTTTCATTTTCGGTGAACTATTCCTTTAAGTGTCAGCCTCCTCTGACTAATGCTGATGTGAAGGCTAAAACGGGGAACCATGTGACCTTCCAATACACGCACTCTACTTCGAGAGCTGTGTCAGGTCCGACTCCGAGGAGTGACATTCTCTTAAACGAGCGGAGATAAATGCTGTCTGCCAGGAGACGGGACTGACAACATCACCACGGCTCTCCCTAATGAAGGTCCCACGTACGTGTGTGTGTGTGCATAAGGATTACGCAGCGTTAAGTGGCTCAGCCAGGCGATTAATGCTTTTCTACATTATTTACGAGCGTTCTGAGCTCGGTGAACAGGAAGGAAAGAAATAATAAGGAAATTACTAAAAATGATGGAAGCGCTTCGCCTTCCCATTTTTTTGCTACCTTAAGTCCTACCCCGGTAAGCACATGTACTTTGCCAAGCATTTGGAAGTAGTGTGTTATATTATAAAGTAATAGTTTACCCAAAAGAAATTAATGTTTATTATTATTATTAGTAACATTATGTACTCAGCCTCATTTTGTTTCAAATCTGAATGAGGGCCGCAGAAAGATATAGCTAATAAAGGCCACTATGCACTATATTCCATGTCTCCTGAAATAAATGATTGTCTTAAAGAGAAAATTTTGGGCAGGGATTTGGTTCTATCTATCGGTTTATTGATTGGATATTGAGATGTGGATGTTGCACTCAAACATAAAGCCTGGCATATGTCAACAAAGAAAAGTAACTTTCACTGAAAGATCCAATTATGACAGTTTGATTTTAAATAACGAGGTCAACATTTTGGTACAAAATTAAACGTATGCACAGATGAACTGTTCAAAGTATGATCTAACTATATAGAGCGAATTTTCACTTCATACTAACTTTAAACTCTGCTCTCAATCTCATTTGCATTTAAATGATGCGTTGTCAGGTTTGAACTTAAAGGTACAATATGCAAGATAGTTTCGCCACCAGGGGTCGCTAACCTCTTACAATAACAAAGGCGTATATTAATGATCTTGTCATACATTGATGTTTTTAACATGACTGTAGTATGAAGCAGGGTGCGATGCTAGACGTATACCAGCGCCACACGCAACGCGAGTCCCGCGCATATAAAGGAATAAGGACATTTAATTCTACCGAACTACATGATGAATTACTCACACAGGACAGTTTACTAGAGGAATTAAACTTGAGGTAACGCAGCGCTGCTTCACTTGCTCTAACAGTTTCACTTTCACACTAAACGGCATTTGAATGTGTTGAATGTTGTTAGTTAGGCTGTTTGTCGGCTGTATTAGACTAAGCTAGATTAACATTAGATAATAACATACAGATCATATTCTAACTTTTCATCATGTTGAACTATATAACATTGATTAGTTTTATATACTTTAATTTGCTCACCTGTTTGCTCAAGTAACATGCAACACTCGCGTCTCTGTCAAGTCGAAGTTAGTCGCGGATGTGGAGCTCTCGGCATCTCGAAAGATGTTGATATTCGTTTTAGTCGTCTTTTTGTCTCAAAGTCTGCTTGACATGGTCCATAATTTTTGAATAAAACCCTGCTAGGGACGCTCACGCTGTTGAGCACGCATAACGGGCATAACTGACCCAGTTGTCCACGTCCGTCGCCATGGTTACTATTGCAGTATGAGGTCAAACCTGGCGGAAACCGTGGGTAACGCGGATATGACGTCATTGACTGGCGACTCCTCACCCCTGCTCACACGCCCCATTTGCTTGGTTAAAAATTGCAATTTTCTCACGATTTACAAATAGTTGGAAACATTTGGGGTATTGTAAGTAATCAACTAAACAAAATAGATAACATTGGCCTAGTGGTTTTTGAATAATTTAATGGAAAAATTCAGCATATTGTATCTTTAAATTGCGGACTGTCTTGACACAAACTGTTGAAATTCTGAATTCAGAAGACTTGAAATACAGCACATATCTTGGTTTTCTATTTTTTTTTTTTTTTTTTTTCTGTTTTAAGATGGTCTCAGATTACAGGAGTTGTAGGCCGATTTCTGACTTATTAAAAAAATTGCGTCCAGGGCATCGGTAGGTTCCTATGTTCGGTCTAGATTATCTAGTAAAGTGAGTAATGTAAACCTCCCGTTCTGATTGTGGACACGTCAGGGCCGCCCCAAAAATATCAAACATGATTACGACTATAATTACATCAATACTTCCACAATAGCCAATCAGAGACAAGTCTACAAGGAGTCGGAGGCTGCGTCCGAAATTGCGTACTATGTAGGTACTATATTTAAATAAGAACGTACTTTGCGACCGTTTAAAAAGTATGTTCTATATAGTATGAATACGGGTAGTATGAATGAGTCCGGACGTACTACATGCGGCGTGTTGTTGTCGCGTGACATACGCTGTCATAACAGTGCGAAAATTTAAAGAGCCCATTCCAGTGACTGCACCAACTTTGCGCTGTTTTTAGTTCTGCTTTCTGTTTTCATCTGCGTTTTTACGTCGTCCGAGCCGACAATCAAGAGGAGGCGTCGGTCAGCTGCGCGCAGATCACGCCTTTTGCGGAATTCCTCAAATAGCATTTATTTACCTAATAAATTTTACCTCATAAAACACACACAACCCCTAGTATGAACAATGACAGATGTTGATTTTTGGCAAGGAAAAAGCCATTTATTTGCTTGTGATATTACCATCGATATAAACATGAATGAATCATTAGAGATACGCATGTGTACCTGTGTTTATCTCCTAACGTTACAGCCGCGTCTCCGGTTTCCGCCATTTTCAAATATAACGACAATAACTCCTCTCCCGTGGCATCATGGTATAGACGAATCCGACGAGCGTTCTGTGTAGGCTGCCATCTTGTGGCGACGCCATTACTGAGCTGTTACACAGGCATACAGACATATGCACCGGTATGTAAACAAACCTCGGTGATAACGCGAACTCACCCTCGATGACAGCTACAGTCAGGCAGAATGACTTGTTGGTTTGATCTGTGACTGCAGTGGCCTCCAGTCACAGATGAAGGTACAAACGATCTTACAGATTAACGTTTTTATGAAAATAGCTTGGCAAGCTAGCTAGGCTAACGTTTGCTAACGAGGAAACTATAAAAAGATCTGTCCATTTGGCAACAATAAATAAATAAATGAATGAAATCAAATAAACAAATTCATGTTTTTCATTTGTGTCCATTATTTATCTCATTTTCACATTGCAACAGGCAAGGGTAAGGTAACGTTACAGCTAGAAAGTATACATAATATCGACCAATTAGTGTTTTTAAACCATGGAAAGAGGTCAATATAACAGCAGGAAAACAATTATGTCACACAACGTTATATTTAGCTCAGGAAAGCCATTTAATGACCATAGCATGTTAATTGAATAGAAAAAACAGCAAGAGAGGAGATTTTGCTGATCACTATATCACATATTTATTATATTTTTTTTTACTCATGTCATTAAATAATTGTTATTATACGCGAATGTCCACGTCTTGTACTCGCCCAGGAAATCTGTAAACCATACGGCACCAGACAGGGGCAGTCGACCCGGGGTATTCACAGTGTTTTCTCTTCAAAATTTAAATTTTACTGCCACCATTGAAACAATTTATAACGGAAACTGTTTACCCACTCGACATTATACAAGGGGTAACGTTGCAACGTTAGTGACAGTCGTAAATCGCGGGCTGTTTATTCCAGTGGACGCAAGTTGCAACTAAAACAATAGGAGGCAATGGCGCAACGCTACCCAGCAACAGCTCAGTAATGGCGCCCCGCTTACTTCCGGTAGTTTCGCCGGATTCGTCTATAGTAAAGTGTCCATCGTATGTGCACTTCAGAATCTCGCCAGAAGTAGTAGGTCACCCGGGTACTTTTCGCCTACTGTGTTTCAAAGTCTCTCTGCTCGCTCGCGTACTGTTTTTCGCATACTATATAGTAGGGAAGTATTCGATTTCAGATGCAGCTGGAGCGACAGAACTTTTGAAATGGCGACCGTGAACCAACAAGCAGCTGTGCGCATGTGGTGGACAACAGAGATGGAAGAAACAGACATAAAAATGTCTCCTCATGTGATGTCCACAGCAAGTTGCCGCGATACAGTATCTATTTTGTTTACGTCCGCTTCATCGTGAGATTGCCTGAGGTGCTAAATCTGGCATGACAATCTTAAGAATATCTTGTATTGTGTAATACACCACGATTTTCAAATCTTGTTGTGTGTGCAGGTTTAAGATCTGAAAGAAGAAAATCTGTGGAGATTCTCCATATGAGCGTGATGCAACCCGATTTCACAATCGGTTAAGATTTAAAAACTCCTGTAGTCTAAGCCCGGCTTTAGCTGGACCTTCTGATCTTCAATTCGTATTTGAAACATTTTTAGCACACATTGAAAAGGAGGCTAAACAATAGAGATAGCAAAACAAAATGGCAGTGTATCAGAGACATTGAAGGGTAGGGGTGGCAGTCACGTAGAAAATTCTGAGCTCACCTCCGGAGACAAGCTAAATCCGTCCTGACAAAGAAAGGTCATGTTTTGCCCCCTAAACAACGTTTTCCTTGAGAACTGTGACCAATCATTTTCATTAACGTGGCTGCCAGAGACACAAACTAGGGTTGCTCTTCAACATAGACTGCCATTTCTGTCTCACTGATCTTTTTATTTTATTTTCCATTTTATCCTCCCTCGGTTTCTTTCTCTCCATCTCTCTTCCACGTGTTTAAACTTTTAAACAGGCTTATGCAAGAGAACCTCTGGGACTAGCATGTAGCGTTCTCTGTAGCTTTTGCGTCTGGCTATTTGGCTTCTTATTCTCTTTGATGCAGAAGCCTTGATTCAGAGATCTTCTAGTTTCACATCTGTCCCCTTTCGACAGTTTTTGAACTATGAGAGTGAGTGTGGTTGGGGCAGAGACCCCCTAGTTCTGGCCTAACCAGATGACAAGCGCCCAAAAACCCTATAGAACCAGCCAACAGATCAGCAAAGACAAGCAAACAACTTTATGAATATGCATTGAGATATATGCACATTCCAGCCTAATTTAGGAACTCATCCCGCCTTGATAAACAACAGTATGAAAAGTATATGCTTGTTAAAGGGATAGTTCACTTTGAAATTCATTTTTGGTATGTTTTAGCTTACCTCAAGGGCATCCGAGATGTAGGTGTCTTTGCTTCCACAGTAGTTTCAATTTTGATATTTTTAGGTCAAACCGTTCTTGTCTGTCAGTCATATAATGGAGGTTTATGGTTACCACCTCAAAACAAACAGTATTTATATCGTTTTTACCTCTTGTTTTCTTGATTTCGTGTCTTAGGCTATGTATACTTACATTTACGAGTCATTAAATCATGTTTAATCTGGACTTCTCTGTTAAAACCTCCATTAGAACGGTTTGACCTAAAAATATCACAATTGAAACTACTGCGGAAATAAAGACAACTACATCTTGGATGCCCTTGAGGTAAGCTAAAACATATTAAAAATTCATTTCAAAGTGAACTATCCCTTTAAGTTGTTAGCCAATAATTATATTGAAGTCAATGTCAACATGAACTGGCAGGTCTAACCTAAATTCAGAAAAAGAAATGCTTAAAAAAAATACAGAACACTGCAAGTTTTCTAGTTTTTTAGTTGTTTAAAACAATTATGAGGATCTTCAAAAGAGAATGTTTGAATAATATGTTCTCCATTATAACACTCTCCACTATTTCTTTTTCAGGCTTATACTGTACAAAACCAATATGGCATTCCACACTCAGAGGTAAGAAGCTTTAAAGAGAATTTCTGAGAACCATCCTCAAACTGCATTACTTCCATTAGTCGAGTGTCCTTTTGTGAAGTAAATGAGCCTGTTTTACACTTGTGAATTCATTAAATGATTCAATACTCAGCTGTGTCTTCTGATAAGAGTAATAAAACATTTTCATTAGAATGAAGTGACATTTCCCTTGGGTTTTTTCTTTTATCTCAGTTGGCCAAGTTGCACCAGTTGTCCATGCAGCAGGGTCTTGCTCCCATGGCTCAGCCCACGGCCACCCAAGTTCTGTCCGGTATGTTTTGCCAATCCAAGTCTCTTTGAACAGGAATATAAGGGGTTGGGATTGGTTATTATTATGGGTTAGACAGTGGCTTAGACTTGTTGCCACCTTACTCACACATGCAGGACTTCCCTTTTTAAGGTTCACATCAATTAGTAATTTGATCTATGATCAGAGTTAAAGGAGTAGTTCACTTTTAAAAAAAAAAAACTTTTGCTGATAATTTACTCAGCCCCATGTCATCCAAGATGTCCATGTCATTCTTTCTTCAGTCGAAAAGAAATTAAGGTTTTTGATGAAAACATTCCAGGATTTTTCTCCATATAATGGACTTCAATGGTAACCAAACGGTTCAAGGTCCAAAAGACCGTTTCAGTGCAAACTGCAAACTGTTCAAAGGGCTTTAAACGATTCCAGACGATGAATAAGGGTTTTATTAAACAAAACGATCAATCATTTTAAAAAAAAAATGACAAAGTTGAAGTTTTATAAGCTCAAATGCTCGCCTTGCTCTGTTCTGTGACGCACGTTCGTGACTCTCCTGTTCGAACTCGTTCATCAAAATGAATCTTTTCACGAGTCGTTGAATGAACCAAATGACTCGAAAAAAGATTTGTTCATTTTGATAAACAAGTTTGAACAGGAGAGTCACGAACGCGCATCACAGAACAGAGCAAGGCGAGCATTTGAGCTTATAAAACTTAAACTTTATTATTAATTTATTAAATGAGCGATCGTTTCGCTTGATAAGACCCTTAATCATCGTCTGAAGTCGTTTAAAGCCCTTTGAACAGTTTGCACTGAAACTGTCGTTTGGACCTTGAACCGTCCGGTTCCCAATGAAGTCCATTATATGGAGAAAAATCCTGGAATGTTTTCATCAAAAACCTTAATTTCTTTTCGACTGAAGAAAGAAAGATATGGACATCTTGGATGACATGGGGGTGAGTAAATTATCAGCAAACGTTTTTTTTTTTTAAAGTGAACTACTCCTTTAATTCTTTGAAAAAGATCCAAAGTGATTTGATTTGGTTTCAAGGCCAGGAACAGTGTGAATGAAAAGAGAAGTAGGTTTTTTTTTAATCACTCAGTTAAGTTTGTAGCATACCAAAGTGGTTTAAACTTCTCATAAAGAGACACCCTATATTTACCCAGGAGCACAGTGCTAAATCTCTGTGTACAGCGATTGTGGATGTGACACAATTCCACCGGAGAACTCAAGCTAGTAGATTCAAACAAACCTCCCAAAGACCCATAGGCCACCCATGTTCAAGGTAATACACCTGAGCTCCATGGAGCATATGGCACATGCAGATTACAGCTGCAAAAACGGGGCCAAACTTTACAAGGCTCCACGGTCAGCTCCTGGGGCTTCTCCGAGCTGTGATAAATGTCCAGCTAAAGCTCTCCTTTTCTTGTTCCCTTTCTTTTTTTTTCCTTGCTCACAACCAGACATCCAATTATACAGCCACCCCAAGTTTTTCAGTGATGTCTTTCAAGCTGCCCGGAGATACCCAACATTTGTGAAAGGTTTGTTGTGTAGGATCTCTTAAAGCCAACAGACTGTTGAACATTATGGTAAATAAGCACTTTCGGTGCAAATGTGAGAATCAAAAAGCCCTTTCGACGAATTGAAGGGTCGAAACAAGTGTAATAGTTGCCCCCCGCCGCCAAAATTACAAGAGCACATCCTATCATGATATGGCTGGGGAATTCGATTATGTCGGAGGTAAAAAGCTCATCAGTCAAGGCAATGTTTCAGTCTATTAAATCGGCCCCTGTTGGGCTTGGAGGCACTGCTGGGTCTGGGCCTCCTGCTGAGACAGGAAGTAAAGGGAAAGAGATACAGGCTAGGTAATAGCATCCAGCTAACAGATAGGTGATCGCTTAAAAGAATATTCTGGGCTGAGAATTGGTGGCCCAATGCAGATCTACACCATTTTGGGTCAGAAATAGGCCTATGTTTAGGCCATTGAAGAAAGGGAAAGAAGAAAGCAAACAAACTACAGTAAATTATCCTATGGTTTGTTAACGTGGTACCTGTTCCTCTTCCTGCAGGCATTGACTCCAGTTCCCAGACAGCATCACAAGAACTTCTCATTCCAAATGACGTAAGTAAAACTTCTTTTTTGCAGGTATCGCTTCGCTCAAGATACTCATTGATATTGTGTAACAATGTTTAATTACGTTTATGTCTTACATGAAGACTTTGAGAATGGTCAGATATGCATTCTAGAAATGAGAGAAGTCACGTACTTAATATTCGTAACAGCACCTCTCATGGCACACTTTGGCCTTGCAGAAATCCTGAAACTTTTTATTTCAATCTCCCCACCCCCTGTCCAGTTCAATCCTGTCATGGCGTCTGACATGCTTAGAACTCCTCTGCTGTCAAAACAGAGACGGTAAATAAAGCCAGAGCCTTTTGTCAGAGCTCTAGGTTGCACCCCGGGGGCGAACGGGACGTTCCCTTCATGCCTGCTGACCAGGGCTCACTCCCGCCTCCACGTCTCCCTGAGATCACAGGATTAATCGACTGGCGAAGGGCCCAGCTGTGGTACTCAATACATATTTTCAACTCCCATTGTTTTGTTATTTTAAAGATTCATGCCCGATTCTATTCTTTGACTTTTTCCCATTATCTGATTGGTCTCCAGTTAAAAACAGGTCTCAAAACATGTTTTTTTTAAAGTAAAACTGTAACTGTGTTGTTCCATGCTGTTGTACTTTTGAACATAAGTATGTGCCCAATGTGAACTACTCATACTGTGCTGGTTCTCTCAGTAAATGTAGTATCAATAGAATTAACCTACTCATAGAATGAAAACAATAAGATATACTTCTTGTACTGTAAATTAATGTGTCAAAATAGGATGTTTTAGATCATTTTACATGTGTACATTTATATAGTTTTGAAATGGCAAAATGAAATGCGTAAAATTATGAGAATAATGGTTAGACCACTAGGAGGCGCCTTCTGCCCCATATATATCTGCGTCTCATTTGACGCTAAAGGGTGCCATGTGCGTTGGATGTCTACGCTTTGGCAAAAGCGTCGTATATGACGCCTTGGGATGAGAACGGGCTCGTAAAACAAATGAGCGTGTCGCTTGAATAATAAGCGTGCCTTCATTGGAACGAACTTGAGGGCAAAATAATCGATATGTCAACCAACGGTCCCTTGACGAGCTACCTCAAATCAAGCCACGAGCTGGTAGATCGCGAGCGACGTGTTGGAGACCCCTGTGATAGATAATAGAAAACTGGTTCGCGGCGCAGAGTATTTTTTTTTCGTGCCACCCCCCATGTGTTATGAAAAAATACCCAGTTCGCCTGAGCCCAAAACCGCTACTGCATAATAGCTTCATGTAAATATATATCCTCAGCATTTTAAAAAAAATATTTTAGTTATACAAGCCAACATGTATACTAAACAGGTTTGAGTTTTTACGCTGATCCCTGGTTTGGTGCCAATGGGGCAAAAAAACAGGTACTTGTTCGCAAAAGTAGGTTTTGGACAAAATTCAACATAACATTTTTTTATTTTATTTTTTTATCGAAATTGATATGCATCTTGTTCGTCTTGAGCCAGGGATCACAGTGGTGTAAAAATTGATTCTAGGTCAAACGGTCTAGGAGTTATGGGCAATTTAGTGTTTTTGGTTGCTGTAGCGCCACTATGGGCCAATCTGGCTCATAATTTGATAACCTCTCCTTGATTTCTGTGCTACCTTAATCGCAAATATCAAGTCTGTAGCACTTACGGTTTGGGCTGCACGATGCGTTTTACAGCAGCAGATAATTAATAATAATACAAACCCTTACAATTACTATAGGTTTTCAGTGAACACCTAATAAAATTAAATGACCCATCATACTATTGATCTGCTCTACCAAACTTGGATGTCTTTTTTGTTTCCAGTAATAAACACTGTTAAGTTGTTTTGATTGATACTGTGAAGCAGCTTTGATACAATCCGTATTGTGAAAAGCGCTATATAAATATATTTGACTTGACTTGACTTAATAATAAGAGACTTTTTTGACGATTATAGCGCCACCTATGGTCCGATCTCCATGAAACGTGGCATGCTTCTTCACCATGTTCTGACACATATGTTTTTGTGAAGTTCTGACTTTTACTTTGGGATTTAATGGCTTTTGACTGTATTTTGCCACAGACCACATTCTAAATGACCCTGTTACAACCAACCAAGTATATCTCCAATTTCGATTTGGAGCAAAAAAAAAAAGTTTGTCCAAAACTTACTTTTGCGAACTAGTCCCTGTTTTTTGCCCCATTGATTTCTTGTACTGCTGTAATGGCAGACAAATTAAGTGATTGCATTATCAAGAGTGTTTCCTTACAAATGAAGTCATTGACGCACATGAACAGAAAAAGTGTCGGCTCTTGTCAAATTGACACTAGCTTCTAATAAAACTTGACTTCCTGAATGGTTCTTAACCTCATCATACATGATAAACTTAAAAGCAACTTCAACCATTTCTCCAATCAAGGGCTAATTTAGCATGCTTGTATATTCATATTCCTGCATAAAGCAGGGAGATGGAAAGCATGTATTATTGAAATTCCCTCACAGCGATGCAATTCCAAGGCAAGGCGACATCAAACAGACATCAAACGGCTGGCAGGCTAAGTTGTTTATCATTCGCAATCAGGTTTCTCTCTATAGAGGAGCAGTTTCTCCATGGTGAACTATCCCCCCTTAAATCTCCTGAAACATGCTACAGTTAGATTGGGATTGGATCAGTGTTCGAGAGCACAGCAGTGGCAGCGGCTGAAGTTGGGTCAGAACTGTTTAAAGATTGGCCTGTGAGAGGTGGACGAGCCTGTCAGTGACACCAGTTTTTTTGCTGGCGGGAGATGTGTCCTCGCTCCTCAGACTTTCAAAATTAAGACCTAAGAAGTAGATTCACCCAAAATAGGCCTGTCTCACAGCTTGGCCAAAGTTATACCTGTCTCTTGCTTTAGACAGATTTGAGTCATAGATTGGACCTTGATTTCAGTGGATAAAAAGAAGTCAATAAAACACACCGAACTGATTTTTTGTTTCTTTGGTAAACTTGAAGGTTGGAGGAGGATGTGTGGGTGATGGTACTTTGTTTCATTATCCTGTTGCTTGCGGATATATAATTCATAGATTTCTAAAAATGAAGGATGTCAGTGGGCAAATATGTGGTGCAGTGCAAAGGACATGCTGGAATCCTTTATGTCAGGGCGGCAGCGAGACCTGGCGGTCGACTGCAAGCACTTAGCCACAATCAGCTGAGCCATTAATAGCCCCTGGGCACCAGGGAGAGCGGTGTGACAAATCAGGAGCTTTGACGTCCATATGACTCGTGAGGAAAGGAATGCTTTGTGGAGCAATTCTTGCCCACATAATCCAACTCGCACTCAGAGTGAGGGTTGGGGGTTGGGATGCAGGGTGGACAAAAGACAAGCTGTCAGTCATTCGAATGATAAACTGTTAACTCATCCCAGTCGGGGGTCACTTCACTTTATCATTGTTCAGGCTTGACACCAATCCCTAGGGTCACCCAACCCCCTTGGTCCTTTTCCTTCAAGCTTTGGACACCTTCCATAGAATAGGAACGACTGTGTACATCATCTGGATTCATACAATGAGTTTAAGGAGCTGCACGCCCACAACTTTTTTAAAAAAAAACTTGATGCTGTCACAGTAGGATGAATAAGTTTAGCACCACCTGTTGTTGGTTTAAACTGGCCGTCTAGATCCACAGAACTATTAGCACATGCTTGTTACAGAGACAATGCCATGTGCAAACACAGCCGTGTCATCTCAAGTCCAGATGACTAAATGCATAAACTGGCATTTCAGAGCCAAGCATGACATGCACACAAAGAGAGATTGAAGTGTTTGTCAAGGAACACATTAGATATGGGCATGAGGGTGCAAACACTGTCCCTGAAATCAATAGGTACTCTTAACCACACTTGGGCAGTTGGGCTGTATGTTCTGCTTTATGAATTTCAGGATTGCTGTTGACCAAGCGACGGAAATTATCCAGATGTAAAATTCGAGCAACATAAATTTGGCTTTCTTTAAACCGATCATGTTGTCAATGTTTATCATGTTGCAATTTTGTACCATGAGCTATGGTATCCAATCCTACTCCGGAGGGCCACTGTCCTGCTGTCCTGATCTCCAACCTGAATTGAGCACACTTGATCCAGCTAATCGCGATTTCAAGAAACCTCCTGGCAGGTGTATTGAGCCCCTTTCACACAGCGCGTTGATCCTGGGAAATTGCCAGAACGATTTCTGTGTGAACGCAAACACGACCCGGGATTGATACCGGCATCGATGCCGGGTTGGGGACCTACAGTAGTAACATTGCCGGAATCAGTCCCGGAACATGCCTGAGTGAACAAAAGCCAGGACCAATGCCGTAAGGGGTGTGTCACAGAGATGACGCAAGATGTTTGTGTTCGTAACAAAGAAAGGACGAAGAAATGTCTGCAAACTGGAACGAACCAGAGACCAGGAGCTCCTCACTATCCACGCTGAAGCGTAGATCGTTCAGCAACTTTGTGGAACGGTATGCGGGTGTACATGTTTTCGACACGTACGTTACACGTCTCATCCTGACGTCATGTGTCTTTCCGGGATCTTTCCGGGTTGTATGTGAACGCACGCACAGATCCCGGCAAATCACTGGCAGTGTGAATGAGCTAAAATCAAACAATACCGGGACAAATGCCAGGTCACATTATCCGTGTATTTTCCGGAATCTCTGTGTGAAAGGGGCTTTGGAGTTAAACCTGCAGGACTAGGACTACACACCCTTGTCTTGGAGGGAAATTGTGTCATAGAATAGCTGTTTAAACTTATTATTGATCTGATTGCCTTTCAGCTGATTGGTTCAATAATCGGCAGGCAGGGTACCAAAATCAACGAGATCCGCCAGGTGTCGGGGGCTCAGATCAAGATTGGCAGTCAACTGGACAGCACTAGTGACCGACACGTCACCATCACAGGCTCCCCAATCAGCATCAACTTGGCCCAGTATCTAATCACATCTTGGTAAGCACTGGAAGACATCCCATCCTACTAACAGATTCAGGGTGTTTGTACTTGACCACTCCATGTGTTTGTGTGGCATAATGCTCTAGAGGACCCTGAAGTAGGTGACCCTGACAAAACCTCAGGGAATATTCAATCAGGGGTCTTTCCAGTCCGCAGTTGCTCGCAAAAAAAGAAGCACCCTTGAGCAAAGGCATCGAAGAACTAAAAAAGCAAGAATATGTGGCGGAAAGAAGCCAGGCTGAAGGATTAATTGGCCAAGTTTCAAGCCAGAATCTTGTTAAAGCTTAGAGGCAGAGCATTTTGGCCGCCTCACAGGCAAACTCTATTTTTCTCCCACGTGATCTATGCGGTTGCAATTTGATCAAATGTTGTGTCAGGCAAGAAAGCAGTAAATTCCTGACAGCTCAGTTCCTCAGCAAAGACTTCTCCAACAACGCTGGGGCAAAATTTAATTTGCTAATGTAACAGAATTAATAGTTCTGTTCTTTATTCAGGCTAATGGAAAAGATCGTTTTATAACGTCAGTTCAATTAACCTAAGGTAGAATTTGCAAAACACACATAAACAATTCAAACCACAAGACCATTTTTATAGTTCTTGTTAGTAAAGAGTTCAAATCAGTTATTCTGTTGACCGGAGCATATCAATTAATGAAAACTAATGAAGAAACTGAATAAGACCGCACTTCAAATTAGTGGCTTCTTTCACACTCAGTTGTTGCATTTTTCTGTATTGGCTAGCAAATAAATTAAGATTTCTAACAGATGCAGTGTCATGTACAAAGTTATATATTAATTCTTCTAGCATATTATGGCTCAGCAAGTCGACAAGAGAGCAATAATTGGGTCTTGAATGAAATATTTATGCTTGTCTCAGGTGTGTTCAACAAGCAGACCGGTGCAGAATGTCAAACTCACTCTGAGAAGCCCCTCATTATTTTATTTGAAATATGTTACTCAGGCTTCCTGCATATTTTAAGAAAGCTTTTGTTGTTTTTCTTCTGTCTTAATATTATTGATTTTACTGGTTTTTCATCAGTTGAATTCCTATCAGTTTGGTTTTTTTGCCAAGTGACGGCAACAAAAAACGGTGATCTCGGAGCAACCCAAGGCACTCTAGCGTCAGAATATCTCCTTAACTAGTCCAAGCCATTAAAAATCAAACATGATTATTCATGCCCTAGAAGAAGTCTGGAGACGTCACCCCCAATCAGCGTCACTCTCTAAGAATACTTCCTACGAGACAGACGTCTCGTTTCAGTGCATTGCATCAGAACGTTCTGCATATTGAACACACCCCCTTCGTGATAACGAGAAATCAGTTCTACGCCCTCGAAATACATTAATGGCAGAGCACGTTTGATTACATGCATTTGCAATGAGTACCATGTTGACAAATGCATCTTTTTGATTAAAGATAAAGGAAATGCTACTAAAAATTGAAATCATTTTGTTTCTTTTCCCAAAGCCCCTACCCAAGCCATCACCCTGAATTAAACAGCTCCTTTCCCATGAGTGCCAAGGTCCCCCCTCAAATAATCTGTTGCAACCACCAGCAAAACACACCTCTCTTATGATTTTTTTGTTTCTGTTTTTTGATTCTTTTTTTTTATCTCTCTCAATTTTTGTTTAACATGTCTTTTATTTAACCTTCTAACCCTTCTCCATCCGGCTCCCCTCCCTTGTCCCTCCACCCTCCTCTCCTCCACCTCCTTCCTTCCCTCCCTCATACAGTTTAGAGACCGCCAAATCCACTGCCCAGTCCTCCTCCATGTCGACCCCTGTAGACCTCAACATGAGCTTCACCCAGACTGCTCCCCCTGCATCGTCCTCTGCCGCAGCCCTGGCAGCGATGGGCGGCCTGCCCCACGCTCCAATCTTGGGCGCCCCCTATACCCTCCCCCTCTCCAGCCTCCTGGGAATCAAATCCGTCCCCTTCCTGGCACTCTCGGCCCCTGCTGCCCAAGCTGCCGCCGCCGCCGCCGCCGCTGCCCCTGCCCACGGCACCTTGGCTTCCTACACCGCCAAGATCTCCTCCGCCAACGGCATCAAGAAACCAGAGCGACAGAAGTTTGCGCCCTACTGAAGTTCGCCGAGAGGAACTAGCCAGTACCTCCTTTGTTTCCGAGACAACAAACAGGAGAGGAATACTTTGAGGGTTATTCTCTTCTAGCCTGATGTAGCTGTGTAGAAACAGACGGTACCAATTTGTTTTCTTTTTGGTTTTCAGTAACTTGTCCTGAAAAACGGTATGAAAATAATGGCATAAATTAACGTTTTTTTTTTTGTTTGTTTTTTTTTGTTTGTTGATGTTTTTGGCTGAGGTAGCCGCTAAAGCCATAGACTATTCCTAATCTCCTATTTTCCCGAAATCTTTACACGCGTTTATTGTCTACTCATATTTATTGATAACAATGAAATATTCCCGCAAAGAGTTTATAACGTAGAACACTGTTGACTGATGCTAATCTCTTATGTATCAGCTTTTATACAATGATGTCTGTGAATGCTTCTGTATACAACTTCCTGATTTTTTTAGAAATCTTTAAATGATGTATTAAAACGAAAATATGAAAAAAGAAATGTTTTTAAAATGACATAAGATCTAAACCTTGCTTTTGTGTTACATTTTTACGTTTTGTTCACATTCGTTTTGAAATGTTATTTATTTTATTTATTGTGCGGAGTGTTTCTTTTACAGTCAATGTTTGTTTTTTTCTGTAACGGCTGCAGAAATTTCTTCCACTCGATCATGGTTACATACGTCCTGAAAAAGACACGTGTTTGAGGAACCTCGAACAAGACATTAGTTTAGGTTGTTGGTTACTTTACTTTAAATGGGAAGTGAATGGTGCCCCGGTGAATTCTGGAACAAATATCCAAATACTAAACGGCTAACAAATTCAGCCATGGCTGAGTATGAACATTATTGTTTCAGGGGGGTTCTTTCACCATTTCTAATGGCATACAATGACTACTATGCATGGTGACTGCCCTTGTCGGAACCTAATGCTGCATGTTGACTTGGCCCCTCACACATACACAGTAGCAAAGATAGCTAACGCGTAGGTCTCTTTGTTGATGGCGTTAAAAATAGGCAGTGCTGCAGAAGAGCAATATTCATCTGAAAGTACTAAAATATAGCAGATCTACACATAAACATGCTTCAAGTGTAGCTACAGTAATCATTATGCTCAATCACAGAGTATATTACGTGGACTGACTTTTTTTCGTTTTTTAATATAGAAATAATCACACTTATTTTTCTAAAACTAGAGTCCTAAAATATTGAATGTGACCACTCACACAATTCATTCACGTGGTAGACATTGACTCGTGTTTGTCATTTTTTCTTTACCGTAACGTTTTTTTTTGTTTTCTTTTTAGATCTTTTCAAACGTCTGTCCCATACTCATTTGCATGAATTTAACTTGGCGTCTATGCAAAACATCTCGGGGGCGGTTCAGTGAGGTATCCTGTGTCATGCTTCATAGATGGCCCTAAATAAACCACCAGTGGGAAAGGGCTATTGGCAAAGATGGAATTCAAGGACAATGATGCTCTCAAATTTATGAACCATGCTATGTATAATATACATGAATATATAAATATATGTTATATTATATTCATATTTCCCATTCCAAAGCCTAACACATAACCACCCTCTCTTATACACTCTATGAAATGACACCGTGTGGCTTTGAAACGCACTGTCACTCTTCACCGTGATAATTCCACGATAGCCGGACAAGGTTTGAAAACTGTGCAGATGCTTGAATTATCCAAAGTCTGGTTTTTGGATTCACACGAGGTTTCGTTTGTCAGCCATGGCATAAATGCAACTCTTGTTTTAGTTTTATTCATCAATGCCATAAAAATGAATAAAAACAATACTGTATTAACGTAATCCAGTCTCTTTAGTTCTTTTTCAGCCGCGTGAAATGGAACATTATCATTAATAGCTAAGTGTGTGCATGCTGGGATAGTCACAGTGACTAATAATGCACAGTCTTTTTAAATATGTATCTATTATAGTTTTTTTCAGTTTTTTTTTTTGTTTGTTTGTTTGTTTTTTTAACCTGAAATGAGTTTAAACTCAAGACCTCAAATAAACAAGCAATTAAAACTAAGCCCTGAGGTACAATGTGTGTTTTATTAAAGCAATAATCCACTCAAGGCTATTACATCACAATGATTTTACCATGGGTTAGGGTGTTTGACCCTCAACTATGGTAAGATCAGTGTACTGGATAACCTCCAGTGCTGTGTTGCTTGCATGAAACTGCAGCAACAGTAATGTAGTGCAAGACAGCAAAATTCATATTCGACATTATCATTAAAGACAGCAGTGATGTAGAGGACCAAACCAACTAGCATCTCAAAGCTTTTAAGCAAAACAAATTGGTAATGACATAATTGAATCAGAAACTATAACATTTCAGACAAATAGGCCTGGTTTCACAAATGTGGCATATATGATATTAGGCCTTAGTTCAATTAGGACATTTGAGTAGCTTTTATAAATGTGCATTTTAAAAATAAAAACATTACTGGTGTACATCTTGAGACAAAACAATGGCACTGCAGATATTTGAAGATATCAGTTGCTTTCAGTTAAAACAGCCTAAAAATGCATTCTGTCTGTGAAACCAGGGGATTGCAATTGCTTAGTATTAAAACTATATATTTTAAGTTTAAATTTGGCATGAAATAGATTTTCTAAATGCATGTTAAAGATCTTTTTGTGAATGATTCACACATTATTTACTTTTTTGTCATAACACAGATCTTCCAGTTAATCGACACACTTTTCTGACGATGTATAATACCCTTATCGAATGGTTTCATCCGCTTAAACCCCGCCCTTTCTTACAAAGTTCGAATTCAAGAGTGCGTTTCCTGACAACAGCGTAACTCACTGCGTCACTAACATAGTACCATGCATAGTTGAAGAATTCAAGCTAGTCCCGACATTGCTTTGTTTATATATAGTTTTACTATTGTTAAAAAAATGCTTGCTTTAAAATTCGGCTATCTCGTGTGTCCTAATTTTGATTGTGTCCCTTTTGAGCCATGGGGCGTAACAAATGGGGGCTCGTCCGGGATCTGAACCCAGGACCTCTCAGCTCAAAAGGGAAGCAACAATCGTTCTTATGTACTAGAACACGTAAGCACATGCTCACTCTTTAAACATGGCACTTTGTCTCTTGACAAGCTAAGAGACGTAAATGACATTTGTATATGAAGAGTTCAGATGCAAAAGCCTCTAAATGCCATTTGAAATGTTCTTCTTTAATAATGATTTTTATCAAGCTTGTATATTTAAGTTCAGTAATTTCACTTAAATAACAATTAATAGGTAATTATCATTGCCATTTAAGTGAAATCATTGAAATTAAATATACAAGCTTGATAAAAATGATCATTCTAGAAGAAAATTTCAAATGGCACTTAGAGGCTTTTGCATCTGAACTCTTCATATATTAAAAATATTCAAGAGCTGCCGTTCCATCCACGCAACTTTGCGATGCTGTTAGCTAATGTTCGTTAGAACTATGGTTTCGGGAAACACAGATTCGTTTAACTATGTTGATAACAAGGGAACTTGCAACCATAGTTGCTTTCGGAAAATACACCCCAGATCTGCCTCCATCCAATCAACAACTGACGGACTGACGGACCCCCGTTACATCATGAATTTTATGCAAAATAGTTAGATATTTTCAACAAGTAATTTGAGACTGACTCGATTAAATCTAGAATGCTTCATGATGAAAGTGGACAATCATCTTTTCACGCAGTTTAGATTCATTTTTCACAAGAATTTGACTTCATTTTTTTGTGTTTAATAGCATTAAAATTGCTTGTACCGAAGCATACACCGTCACTAATCTCTCACTACATCTGTCCTGAAAGGTTAAAATGCTAAAGCTTCAAATCAGCCTTTCTTAGCATTCATTATGCCAGTGGCCAACTCGTTTGGCCATGGGAACCACATTTTGCGGCGCACTTTTATAATGAATTATGTATAGCACAAAAATAATTGACACACACAAACAAGTGGCATCCCCCTTTAACTTAGTCAATTTCTTCCAATGAATGTGTATGTTAAGGCCCATGTGGTAAAGCAAATAAATAGCAGTCCCAAACTAGTTTTTGTTGGTATTTTGGGGTCATGGAAACAAGTTACCATGGAGAATACACAATACTAATATGAACTGTTCATGAAACATGGCAACTGCTCTTGATGAATAGAATGAACATAATACCAGCATACAACTCCTTCTCAGCTAACACATGATGTACCAGTAACATGATTTATTGGTATATTACTTGTATTTTTTTTGACTTAACAAAGTTGCATGCTTAGTTTTCTTGCACTTTGTAAAGCATAGCGATATATAGCTTGTACCGCCATATTTGCATACTGTGCAATTGAAGAGTGAGTGCTACTAGCGCAGAATAACCGGACAGAAAAGTTTGTTTTTCTGAGGAAACAAGCTACGAAAATAGCGTTACAATAATGACACTGACAACATTTCATTTGACACCAGCTACTGAATCAGGACAACACGTTTTTCTCAGGCATTTAGGCTAGCTGACAAAATAAAAGTCTTGCTCTTGGAGTTACTGCACCCTAGACCTTAACACACTCAGAACGTTCTCGCGAACCACCAGTTGAGAAACACTGCATTATGCAGTATTAATGCCAACACACTCTCATTAGAAGATTTGCCTGGTCTGTCAACATTGATGTTACGTTTTTACAAGGTTAGCATCCTCTCAAAAGCTAATTAAAAAGCCATAGCGCAGTGGGCCGTTAAAACAAGCAGTCGAAAATAAGACATCCCACTTTGTTTGAACAAGTCTCTATTGTGTCACTCAGTGCAGACGGTGTATTTTCATTTCTGAGGAAGGGCCCCTTGAGAGCAGTACAGCTGAATATCAACAGAGATTGCTGAAATTCATCTGTATAATAAACAAACTCAGCTATAATAACATGCTGACACATCAGCCACCCCTCTATCTTACTATCCCAGTGCAACCTGGGCTGAGAGTGCCGCCCATGGCGGTTTGCCATCACGCCAATGAATGCAACGACGCCAGAGATGAAAGCGGTCTATGAATAAAGCTTACACCTCACAGCAGCTGCTCAAACACAAACAAATTCTTACAGGCGGGGTTTTCTGTCCCGAACGGGTGGGGGTGAGTGTAATGACAGCCTAAACACAGTCTACATCTCTCACAAAGGGACTCGCTGATGCCCACACACGGCAATCCGTGACATCTCGCGCAAGAAATACACACCGGGTTTGGCGTCCTCCAATTGACGTCCACGGTCTGAGACGCACACTTTACAAGAGTAATTATGCTACAATAACCTCCTACAGCCAGCGAGTGGAATAATACTTGCAATTTACCAACAATTAAAGACAATCTGGAGACAAAGCGGGTTTGAAACGGAAGCCAGTAATTATGTGGTGATGGCCATTTGGCTGTGGTGGGAACGAACACTCGTGGGTTTGGCATGCGAATAAAAGCTCATGCTCTGTGCCATGTATTGGGGGGGAAAAACATGGAAATTGGAATGGAATTCACAGGAAACTGAAATCCGGCTCAGGCCATTAAAAAGAAACTAGAGTGTATTTTTAGCCTCAAGCTATCTAGAATGATTTAGGGCCACTGTGACCTTCCCTAGAGGCAATGTGAAAGCTTGTAAAATATTATGAAACTGAAAACAGCAACTTCACCATTTTCTATTAACAGGCCAAATCTCCCATCGTAACGTGGAAATATTCTTGAGATGATTAAGTTGTATTGATTTACTCTATGCATATTGCCCTGGATTTGGCCTTAGTAAGCTGTAGCGTATAGACCATTTCACAAGATGTAAACAACACTGGTCCAGAAGCACTTCCTGTTTCAGTTTTTTAACACTACATAAAAGCTGGGATAAAGTACAACCAACAGAACATTTAAAACTGAATCAAAAAGTTAAAAAAAACATCTTTAAGATGTTTTATTTACATGTGAAATAAAGAAAACAGTTACAAACTGAAACAGGAAGTGCTTCTGGACCAGTGTCGTTTACATCTTGTGAAATGGTCTATATGTAAGTTTGATCCAATGATATTGTAGGACACATAGGTAATGTCTACCAAGTTTAAAATCTAATGTTTTAAAGGCAAATGTCTAATTTTTTGTATTCAGGGAATGCAAGATGAAAACAGAAACAAATATGGGAATGCATTATATAGTTTACAATATTTTAAAGTTTTCCAGTTTATACCATTATATAGATAGAAAATAGCTGTGATTTTGCACAGACAAGGTTTATTACATTTAAAACCCACAATAATTCCATTGTAAGGGCATCACTGTAAATGTGATTAAGTGATTTTACAAGCATTTTAAACGTTCACTGAAATAAAATCTATTAATCTATTATTTTTACGCTTATTTTTACATAAAAACTAAAAACTATAGTAATGATACTAAATATCATTTAGTACTAATTAGATACTAAGCTGAAAAAATATTTGTTTAAAAAAAACTTAACTAAACAAATATTACAAACAATATAAGCACTAAAATGATTCACTGGGAATAAATAACTAAAATTTACTAAATCTAAAACTAAATCTAAATAGGAATATTCAAAAAAATACAATTTACTAAAAATGTATCTAAAATGAACAAAAACTTTTAAAAAAAAATGTTATCCAATTCAAAATAAAACTAAAATAACACTACCGTCATACTGTTGAGTTCTGTGACGAATATATTTGATGTCCTTCACATTAGAGTGACCTTTTGCCTCCAATGCAACACACACAGCCATTCATTTGTCCAAGGCCAGGGCAAGCGGCATCATGGATACACAATTACACGTCATTATCTGTGTGG